GTCTCCCGCTGCGTGCGAATGAATGTCGTGCTCCTTGTTGTTGTTTTCGATGTGGCTGTGGTGGTTGTGGTCATTGTGGTGGTCGTGGTCGTTGTTGTCCCCGCCGCAATCCTCCTCCTCCTCCTCCTGCTCCTTCTCCTGATCCTCCTCTTCCTCCCCATTGTCATCATTAGCATCATAATCAGAAGTCTGGGCCCAAGGAAAATGATGGAGCGGAAGCCCAGGGTCGAGAAGGCCTTTCAGCAGTGCCTGAGCTCAGAGGATCATTGACATCATTTCGTTGAATTACATCGGCCCTTCCCTGCGTTTTCGTAGTGATGAGCGCAAGGTTCGACCCTGAAGGCCTTGGAAGCAAAGCTGCATTTTGGTACACGGTGAACTCTAAGCCCTAAGCTTTGCGGTGTGGTGACAAGCTCCTGAGGATTTGTCTGCAGCAACATGTGAGGATACATCACCCTCCAGAAGTTGAAGCGGGTCTCGAGGCCGTTTCAGTGATGCCAGGCCCTTCTCGATCTGACTCTGTGGCAAGGGCGCTTGGCGAAGACTTGAGTGACGTGGAGTTGCAGGAACGAAGCTCTCTGACAATGCTCTTTGTTCTAGCATTGCCTCTGTTGACTGTGCTTCTGCATGTGCGAGGACATGCTGAATCTTGCAGACAGGGCTCCTTTTCGGCAAAACGTGTGAAAACTGCACTTCCCAATCATCCTGCGCGCGTGCGCTGCATCTCCAACCTGTACTCTCTGCCCTACTTGTCGGCCAAGGACAAGGATGGCTTGGTGAGCCAAGCGGAATTCATGGCTTTCATGAAGGACCCACGAAGCGGGGTGGATCTGCCTTCCTGCTTCAGCTTACTTCAGTTCTGTTTGACCAGGAAAGAGGGATGTGGTGACTGCCAACTATTGCCACGCCGAATAGGCCAGAGTCTCGGATGTTGCACTCTGCTCATGTGCGTGATTCGTCAAAATGCCCCTTTGACGATTGCCCAAGGCAGCAGAGGAGTTGCATGACGACAGATGTGCTTGCGAGTGCCGCCAGGGAGCTTTTTGCACTCCAAACTGCTGTCAAGACCATTGCAAGTCCGGTTGTGCCATGCCAGTAACCCCGTAGGACGCTCTAGAAAGGAATTTTGAGAACAGCAGGAGTGTTTTGGATCGATCCCCACTCCCTTTGTCACGGAGTGGACAAGCAATGCTTTCACCCACGCTTGTGGTGGTGCATGGCTTGCACAGCCATAGAAAATAGGCTCGCTCCGCAATGCTGAAGGTCAGGCCACTTGCTTTCAATCGTGCGGCCGCAGACGGGAGGAGTCATAGTGCCGGCATGCTTACCTTGAGGCCTTCACCGACGTCGCCAGGACGGCTAGTGGCAGAGCTCTCACGCCCGTCGACTATGTGCCCTGGCCGGTGAAGCAGCCTCGAGCCCCGGAGCACCGAGGTAAAAGCTGCAGACATTCGACGATGGCTGGACGATGCCTGAAAAGTCCATGCAGCTGCTGCTGCTGCCTGTACGAAGGCTTGAGCGAGGGCAGTGTTCAGCACGAATGTTATCATTTGCCCCCCTACATCAGGGATCGGATACACGCTCTGCACCCTGAAAGGTTGCTGCACGTAGTTCCAAGAAACAATAAAGACATAGTCTTGGAACGGGCCACTGTTCACTGCAAGTAGAGCTCCAAGCATGAGGGGCTTTGAAGCAGCGAGCAGCCCACTTTGTCCTCTTGCTTCTCAAGTGACAATAGCTTTTCTATGGCTTCTTGGAGGACCAAGTGCCGCGGCTGCCCATGGCTTTATTAGCTAACCTTGTCATATCTCGGATGCGAGGAGTGGCTTCCACCTCCCAGACGGCTTCTGAGGCGGACGCATCTTCTCGTGTTTCTTCGCGCCGCTTGACCCCTCGCGGGGCACTTTGCAAGCCACTGTTGCCAGGACATGTCAAGAACTGCCTCTGTGCGTGCGGCGACGCACGTGACTGCGCTCTCGCTCACCGGGAGGCCCGGCACGGCTACCAGCCGTCCTCATCGGTGAGGAGAAGATCGCAAAGATGCACGCCGCCCTTTCCGTTCTGTTTCTCATTGCTGTCATGTGACCTCACAAGAGCCGAGGCAGATTCTGGCAAAGGCTCAGGCATCCGATATTTTTGATGTTTCGGATGCATGCGTCAGAAGCATCTCTCATGTCTCGGAGTGTTTGCAACGAAGGTGTTTGGCGGTATCCCAATCTTGACGGGCCTCACAGCATCTGCCAAGAACACCATTGCGCGAAGGCAGCTGGCAGGCACACAGTTTTTCGTTCACAGGAA